CCAAGGAAGAAAGTCATTATTAATTCAAAATAATTAATCAGCAAATTTATTCATACCTGCACACTGTGACTTGCATCACAAATTTGTCTTAAACATTTATATTCGTTCATATATATATATATATATATATATATATATATATATATATATATATATATACATCTTACATTTAATATCCCACTAATATAATATATAAGTTTTTCATTTTTCTCGACATAATTTACAAATAGTTTATTTTGAACATCAGTTTCTCATTCACCACTTAATCATTTTGAACATATGATATATCGTTGTAAAGGTCTCATAGAGTAAAATATGAAACCATACTTTTATTATTCAAATATCTACCTTTATCCATTAAAAATAGTCATAGTATCAAAATTAGCCCTCCAACTTTTATCAAAATGGTAATTTTGCCCACTATTTTTTTTTCGGAGCATTTTGGCCCACAAATTTTCATTTTAGGCTAAGAAGACCTCTAACATTTGACAGAATAATCATTTTATCCCTTTTTTTTTTCTAGGGCATTTTAACCTTCCACGTTTCATTTTATGTTAAAAAATACTCATATTTTGAAGCGTTAATCACGTGTTTAATAGTTTTCATATATAGAGAGAATTTTTTTACCTCGAAATGTGATGTTGGGGGCCAAAATAAGAACCAAATGACCGTTTTGATAAATGTTAGGGTCATTTTTAACATTATACCTTAAAAATGTGCCTCAAAGTTTCCAAAAATACATTTTTTTCAACATCAAGTTCACGAACACATTTTGAAGCCATGAGAGCAATCCTTGATAAACTTCATAATTCAGATTAGATATTATTCGTCCAACCAATTTATAATTAAAAAAAAATCACATTTCATCTGATTTACAAATCATTCCACCAACCAATGACGGAGCTATGTAGGGGTCCGAAGCCGCTGCCCCCTAATTTTCTATCATTAAAAAAATAGAGACAAATATCTATTTATACCTTTAAATTTTGATTTATTTTAATTTTTCTTCGTTTTTTATTTTTTTATTGTTAATTATATCTCATAGAATCATCCGAACTTCATATGATTATTTATAATAGATATTAAGACATCTATAATCAAGTTGCATAAATAATACCAGCAAAATTATTGCAAAATGTAAGACTTTATACACCTAATATGACAAAGCTAAAAATCACATTATATACATAAAAAATTTGTTGCCAATAGAATCCTATTATAAATTAACTATATAAATTGTTTCATTCGTTCTCGACAGCAATCTTGTTCTAGAATATAGTATGACATATACACATGATGCAATATTATTCCCAAAATCTTTTGGGTAAATTACATTATAGGTCAATAAAATTACTAATAAATTTACAATTTGGTCGTTAAATTTTAAAAAAGTTATAAACATGTCACTCAATTAATCTATTGTTACAAACAAATTACTTTGTCATTAAGTGTGTTACGAACGTTAATTCTTAAGTTACAATTGAGTGACTTAATTGTAAGAATCAATCAATAAATGATTCAATCATTATAATTGATAAATAAAATCACTTGAGTGTAACTAAAAAATTAGCACACCTTTCATTTTTAATAATAAATTGATCTATTTGTAACAATCAATTAATTGAATAACTCGTTTATTAAGTTTAATAAAGTAAAAAAATATATACAATTAACAACTTAGTAGCCTCTCTGTGTTATAATAACATATAAAATCAAGGAGAAAAAAAATAACAGCAAAAGGTACATAAAATGATGTACATGGAATAAAAAGTATAAGAGAAATCTCAAATGTATGGTTGGAATATGCTTGGAATTTAGTTTAAAAATATTGTTTAAAACTTGAATTATTTTATTTGTTAGAGTTTTATGACTTAAATTTTATTTTGTCCGACTTAAGAAATTTATGGTATGCTTGTTTGGTGAATAAATTAATTGAGAGAAAAATGAGGATCAATAGGGATGATAGCAAGTCGTCTAGAGAGAATAACAAGAGTTAAGAATTCATAAGTAGGGATGATGACGGGGGAGTCGGATTTTCGATCTATCAGAATTTGATTTACAAGTTATACCTTTTACTTGAAACTTAACCCGTCCTAAGTTTAGAAAAAAATCATATGATCTTAAATTCGATCCGAATTTTAGGATGAAAACTCGTATCATACCTTATCAGACTCAAATATAATTTTTTTATTTGATAAAGTAAAGATTTAATTGAAAATAAAATATAGAAAGAGGGATAACAATTATCCCTCAATATATAAAAATATATATTATTATCTTGAATCATATAAACTATTTTTCATTCTAAACTTAAATTAAACTCAACCAGACTCAACTCAAAACAAATCTTTTATAAAGATATTGATTCTATAAAATCGAATCAAAATGATAAATCATTATTTAATGTTCAATTCACCGATCTTCCAATTCATAAAATTATTTTATTTTTTATTCACACAACAATTCGATTAAATGGGAGGTCAATATTTCAAACCAACTAGAACGGGGTTTATTTTAATTTTATTTTTGAGATTAGGTCTTTAAAAAAAGAAAATATCAGCAGTCGGCACACAGAAAATATTAGGAGAATAATGTAAAAGATATATTTAGTGAAATAGGACATTTTTTTATAATAATTGTTATTGTTCCTTCAATGTTAACTATTTTGATAAAATAGTTCTGCAGTGGGTGATGTATTTAGATGTAAAAATTGTCGATAATTATTATTGATATTAACGGAGTATATGTTTAAAGACTTTTAATTTCTTGATAATAAATATTCATACTCATATATACGTAATGCTCGAGCTTGAAATCACAAAAAATAATAACAAATCCATTAATTACTGAAGCCACTTGGTTTGTACTGATGTTATTGGAGTTGATAGTAATTATTGATGCCTTTTGGTCTGATGTAAATTTTATTTTCATATCACACGAATTAAAATAGAAGAAAAATTATATAAACCAAAATAATTATTAAAAAATTATATAAATTTGGACTTATCAAAAAATTACTTTCGACCTAATAAAATAGATTGAAAAAAATGATTTTCGTGATGGATTTTTATAATATCTAATTTAAATTAATTAATTGATATATTGAATATAAATAATAATAAAAAGTAAATAGATAAGGAAATAGTTGTACATTATTGTTGATATTGTAGACAGCAAATCAAAACTCAATGATTAATAAATAAAATTTTCAATATTCGAATCTAAAATGTTGAGGAATAATTTTTAAATGCCACAAGAACAATTATAAAAATAACAATAGTCACTATAATATAAGTAATTATTATTATTATTTTTAAAGGAGTTGGGTTTTGTATTAATTTAAGATAAACACAAAATCGGTACGCCTATGAGTCTCATTAAAAAAATCTCCCTAACACATAAACGGAGGAAAAAGAGTACTACATGAACGTGTGAACAACATTCGAGTACAAATACAAGTTCACAACATAATCACACAAGAACCCTTGGACAGCCACGGACCTTCCCTCACAAGACAGCAACCACAAAAGAATGAAAACAACATTGACCAATTATTCACACCAAGTTATTTATCCAAATAAGATTATGAGTAATTATAATTCAATTATTATAATACATAATCAGATTAACAATAAAAATATATTCGAATAAGATTACAAATAATGAAATTTAGCTAATATAAAGTTATATCTAAGATTGAGTAACATAATCGAGAAAACAAAAAATAAATTTAAACCAAATTATTTGGTTTAATTTAGTTTAGATTTTTATTTATGGTTTGATTTAAACATCTATCTTTTCAATTCAGTTTTATTTCGGCATTTCATTTAAAATTTGTTTATTCCAAATAAAATCGAATTAAAAGAGAAAAAAAGACAATAATCCTAATCAATTTCTTTTAGAATTTGTTATAAGATGAATTTTTTTATGGAAGCCATTAATTTTATTAAAAATGCAAAATATTCAAATTACAACTACAATTATAAACTAAACATATAATAAAAATATTTTCATAAACACAATAAAACTAGCCACTTAAGACCATACAAGAAAAAGGTTAAAAACTTAACCAAATAAACTCGAACAAGAGATAAATACGAATAGATATGTCTACATTGACAAAAAAAACAACAAAAGGGAATAAAGCTATTAAAAGGCCACCGACATACCGCAAATCAGAATCGAGCGATGTGAAAATAATATCCACGAACGCAAATCACATATCCAAATTCAATCTGAGAGACCAATGCAGGGAAGATCATCATGATAACAAATAAGAGTCACCTTGATCAGCTGTGGTAATGTTAAATCCAACCCTGAAAAAAAATGAAAACAAATACCAAACAATCGAAAACGTGTCATAGAGACAGAGAAAAAACATGTCACAAAGGCAGAAGAATACATGCCAAAAAGGTAGAATTATTAAGAATAAAAAAAAGAAAAAAACAAAGATATGTTATAATAAAGCAAAAGAAAAATAATTAATACCGACGATCGGTAATCAATACCTAGACTAATATCACCGTCGATCACAAAGATGAAGAATAAAAGAAATTAATGGCAGCTACGGAAAAAGAAAGAAAAAAAGAATAAACCCTAATGTTATGAAATGAACTTAAATAAACAGAATCCTAGAGCTAATAATTTTTTTTGAGAATTTAAATGTATGTATTTATACTTGGTTTAATTTTAAAATTTACTTTCGTTGGATGTTAAGTTTGAAAAAAATAATAAACAATTAAAATTATAAAATACACTTTATGAAACTGAAAATTTTGGTGCATAATACAGTTCGATTGATCTATTATTACAAATCAAATCAAATTTATCATTAAATGAAAGGGGTAGCTCTTGGCCTAAATGATACAAATTCTGCTAATAATTTTCCCCTTTAATCAAAGACCTTGTAGGTTAGGTACCACAAAGTCAATTAGATTGTAATTAAGTAATAATATCGCTCTTGGCCCTTAAATCTATTTATTTTCTCTGTCTCCCTCCATAACCAAACTTTTATTTTTAAAGCTACAACAAAGGCAAACACTGGTTTATTTTCAGGCTAAAAATGGGTTGCAAGTCATCTGAAAATAAGCCAAAAGCTAAGCACAGGAAGGGCTTATGGTCACCTGAAGAAGACTTAAAGCTCAGGAACTATATCCTCAAGCACGGCCATGGTTGCTGGAGCTCTGTTCCCATCAATGCAGGTTACTTCATTGCTCTTTACTCAAATTTTCCCTTGTTTGATTCTTTAACGATTTTCTGGGATTGTTCTTGCAAGGTAATTGATGTGTCGTGTAATAAATGTTTGTTTTTGTACTTTTTTTCTGGTTTGCCTGCCGGCGTAAAACATTAAAGATTTTGTTGTTGTTGTGCTTAAGATGGTGGGGGTCAACAAAGAATGATGTTTTTGTGGTAAAAATCTGAAAGGTTAAAAGGAAAGCGATTGATTCTTTTATTGTGTGCTGGAAAAGAAAAAGAAAGAAAGTGAAAGGGATTGATGATGACTAATGTTTGATAAAATAACTAAACTAACCTCTCAATCCGTCTTTACCCTTGTTTTTGACTATGTCAACTTAGTAACTTCAATGTTACTCGAACTTGGTTATATATCCGACATGCAGGAGTATAAATGAATTAAGCTTGAACGAATAAGGTTGTGTTCGTTTGTTTATTTCTTAAAGTGTTCATGTTCGATTTTTGTTCATCTAAATTTTAAATATCACATTTGTTTATTTATTTTTTAAGGTATTTTTGTTCTTTCAGTGTTCGTGAACTTGTTCCTTTAGCTGAATATGTTATAAACGAGCTTATTTATGAACATAAACGAACAAAACTCACATTTGTTTGTGTTCATTCATTTATTAAATAAACAAAAATTTTGTTCATACTCGTTTATTTAGCGTAATAAACGAAGATTATACGAAATGATTCATTAACTGTTCGTCGAATTCTCTGTTCATTTACACCCATATCAACGTAGATATGTTTAATTCTTTTTTCAAAATGTTAGTGCTGGAAAAATTAAAAAGTAAACATGGTGTTATTTTTACTTTCAGGATTGCAGAGGAATGGGAAGAGCTGCAGATTAAGGTGGATTAATTACTTGCGACCGGGGTTAAAGCGCGGGTCGTTTACGCCGGAAGAAGAACAGACGATCCTCACCCTTCATCATTTGTTAGGCAACAAGTAAGCAACAAAGATTTCTCTCAACTTTATGATCTTAGGTTGTAATCTCACAGTCCCCATTCGAGTTCGGTTAGTTATCGAGTACTTGTAATGATCGATTCTGATATTATATCGGTCGTAACCGCGTGTCCTCAATTTACAAGGAACTAACGAGGATGAACTGTTTTTTGTATTTGACTAGATGGTCCCAAATTGCACAAAATTTGCCTGGAAGAACAGATAATGAGATCAAGAACTACTGGCATTCGTATCTGAAGAAGAGAGTTGCGAAAGCTGAAGAAATCGAACCCCGGGCCACAAGGAGCCAATGCACCTCCTCAAGCTCAGAAAACAAAGAATCAACGTCGTCTCCTCGAAATCTCTCGGACCAAATGCCGAGCTACGACCCATTCGGTCACGTCGAACAATCCTTGGTACATACTCATCAAGTCGTTCCACAGAACTTCGATTTCTCCAAAGAGTCTCAAGGAAACCCGATTCCGCAGAAGATTTTATTCGCAGAGTGGCTATCGCTCGATCAAGACAGTGGGAGCTTCACGAATTCAAGCAAGCCGGTAGCTTCATACTTCCAGGATCCTTTCGTACATGCGTATTTCAACGATTTTCATTATGGACTAAGCAACGCATCATCAATAAAGGAAATGCTTAGCTCACAATTCAAGTTCGAAACCCAAATTTCGGGGAACGAATTCGTTGTTTCTTTATCTGGGGATGATATATGTAGTGATTTCAATATGAACAACGAATTAATGTACATATAAATAGCCTGGGAAGAAAGTTACTTTCTTTCATTGCATAGAGATATTATACCCAGAAATAGGCTAAAAAGAGTTTGAAAGCTCGATTCATTGTTATTCTTCCATGAAATTGTTCTTGGTGTGCCCATAGTTGTTTCAAAAGACAGATTTCAACAGTGTATTTTGATATTGCTTATCTGTTAACAGCAAAAGTTTATAGTTTTCATTGACTTTTCTGAATAAATTCAGTGCTTAGAGAATCTAAAGTGCAGGACCAATGTCATTTGGCCAGGCGTATGCACGTGGAAGAAGGCAAAAACTCTTCCCTTACCTCATCTCCACGCTTTTTTTGATACCCTCCATTAGGTCAAGGATGCTTTGTCCTTTGAATGAGTTCAGATAGTACAATAATCCACCCCAAAGTCGTTGAATTTGGCCTTTCAAGACTGTCTTTTTGGTAATAGAAAGTGTAGGTGGGGAGAGAATAATCAATACAAAATTAAGATATATAATTATTTTATGGATTTTATAAATTTAAATAAAAAATTAATCAATTCAAGTTTAGACATGTGACTGTCTCATCGGTTTTATAGAAGATTGAAAGGTATACTTATTACCAAATAGACTTTCACATGATCTCATCCCATCCCAGCATTTGATAATGTTTTACCCGTCTCAAATTCGTCCTGATTTTAAGATTAAACTCATTCCTGATTTAATTTGAATGTATTTTTCTATTTTTATTTGGTAAGATAGAAAGATATTGAATATACATATAAATAACTAGAATTTATAATCGTTATCTCTAAATATATATGAGACATTATAGTAATTATTCGAGTTGGATTAGATTGAATCAAGCAAGAGATATTTAAGTGTTTTAACCCTTCTTAATTTTTTTTTTATAAATTCGAGTCAAATCAAAACTAAATAAATTCAAGTGTTTTAATCACAATTGAAAGAAAGAAAAATAAAAGTTGAATTCGTGTTAAAAGTGTTTACACAAATCAATTGGACTAGTGCCAAGCTCAAGAGCATTTTAAAGGTCTACTAATTTACAATCTAAACGAGAAGCATGTTGAATGAAACACATAGCAATAGCATACATGATCATCATGTTTTTTTCCATTGAATTACAAGCTCCATAACATAGATATTTTTAAGTTCTTTTTATTGAATTCGAGCTTTCTTTGATCATTTTGGCACATCATCTTCGTTTTCAAATCTCTCCCAAACCCTGATTTTGATTTGGATGGAGCTCTACAAAGTTGATATCAAGTAGTCATCCGTAAAGATCAGGCTAGTCCACAAAAGAATCGAAGCAGCAACAGTGATGATTGCAATGGGTGTCCATATCAATGCAATTGCCTGCTAACAAACATAAACAAGCTAGCATTTGCAGTAAACAAATTCGAGAACTTATTCTCAACGAACGTTTTGTACATTTACAATCCTAGTCCGAACCATTTAAATCCAGTTAACAAACCTCAAGCCGAGGGGAGGAGGTCCGAAGGGTACTATTAGGCGCTGCTGGTGTCTGCAATATTTCTGCACGTAACAAAGTTTTTTATGTACTCTTTCCATTCAATATCCAGACTTAATCTTAGGCAAAACTTACCCGAATTCCGTCTTCTTTCGATAATATCAGACATGTTTTCTGTAACGATATCGAGTTCTCGCCCACGATCGGCATTCAGCTTCGATAGATTTGCTTGTGTTCTTGTATCAACGTATTGCTTTCTAATATTAGCAATAATACTATCTGCAAATCAAAACAAAGAATCAACTTATCTGCCTAATCAATTTGCTTCAAGGTTGCTGGACATTACCGAATTTAACAAAGCTGTATGGCTTTGTAATATTGTGGACGAGGGCGTTATCAAACTTGTCAAACTCCTTTTGCAGATCGTGAAGGTAATGGAAAGCTAGTTTTCTTGGATAGGAAGAATCGCACAATGTGATGAAGCAGATTCCATGCACCACCAAATAGCTTAAGGTAAAAACCGATTAAATTATTGAACTCGTTCAAGCATGAAGAAATGAAAGTATATATATATATATATATAGTTTTCTGAGGAAAAGGATACCTGAAAGAATGGTGATCAACGCGTACAGTCATCGTGGGAAGTGGTAAAGCTCCTCTGGAGATTTCATGGAGAAGGAACTCAGCTTGTTGCTTGTAACTGGATGACAAGTTGTGGGACGCCGTCGTTTCATTTATCAAGCACCTTGCTTCCTGTGCCAATGGCAACCCGTCTTTCACTCTTCCAACAATGGTTAGATTCACCATTATTTTCCCGAGAAAATTGTGGTCCTGGTTTGATTACGAAACGACGAGTTTTGTCAAGCTCGATGGGTTATATAGGGGATAAAGAGGGGCAATAATGCCCCTTTTGAAGGCAAAGATGATATAACGTGAAACTTAGACGTTAAGATGAAGATCAAGTTATCCATCTCCTTTGGTTGCATGCAAAAGCAAAAACAGAAACCCTGTTCGGTGGTCAAAGCAAGTTTCATGAGGAGAAAACTTACACCAAGATACCATAAATTTTAGACGGTGTTTTGTTTATACCATTAATTTTAATTTTTTCAATTATAACATTAAATTTTAATTTTAATATTAATTATGTAAATGAATCGTTAAAATCCAAATGTGTGTTGCTATGAACAAAACAACATCATTTTGGTACGATTATTGATACTTAAATTATTTTAGGCATTGAACCTTTAAAGGTGTATTGATTTTGACATTAAACTTTTAAACATATCACTTCTTGAATCTTTAAAGATGAAATGTGAATATTTTATATTTATCTTGTAGCAAATGGTGACTAATGATGGGTGACGATTGGCTGCGAGTGGTCTTAGTGCCTAAAACTGAACAATTTTAAAGTTTCATGGCAAAATTGATACATCATTAAAGATTAGTGTCTTAAACGACATTATTTTTAGTATCAATTGCCGTGCCAAAATAATGTGGTTATCATCACAATGTCTAAAATATATGTTCATGTTATGGTTAAGTAATATAATTAAAGTCAAAAACAAAGTTTAATACTATAATTAGAATAATTGAATTTTTTTTTGAAAATGATAAGTTTTGTATAATTGAAACGAAACATTGATATGAATTTCGTTAAAAATTTAACTAACCTAGATGAAGGAAAAAAAGTGCACCACATCCATATCGAATCCAGAGCGGTACTATCTCTTAAATACACCAATCAACCTAAACCAACACATCCTAGGCCAAAATACATCGAACTATACAATACACTCACACGACCAAGAAAACAAAATATTATGCAAAGGTGATATGCTCAACACAAATGGCACCACCAATCCCCGATTACACACTGACAACACTTCACCTTTATTCCACGTTTACAACTCGCCATCTTCAACAACGATATAAAAATTACGGAGACCTGACATCTTTTTAGCTCCACCCTCGGAGAAAAAGATTAGAGGCAGGTGTCGTAACCGGTTTTCGTCCGGGCACGAAATATTTATTTGACGGAAAAATTGATGTGAATAAATAGTTTTTGAAAATAATTTGGAAGTCGCCATCGGCCTTTTGGGTCAGATAGGTCGAATACCTAAAAATTATTATTTTTTTTAAAAGAGTTTTAAGAAAACATCAATTAAAAAAAATAACTGATCTGCGTTTATAACCAAAAATTCGTTTTTTTTAATAATAAAAAGGGATTCGTGGTCGGTTACGTTTAGGGAATGATTAGCACCCCTACAACGCCCAAAATTGGTACTTTTTAATTATAAATTGTCTCTATAATTAAAAATTCAAAATATATTTAATTTATAATCCTATTATTTCAAAATTATAAAAAAATATTTAAAAATATCGGAAAAGGACTTCTAGGTGCCTTAAGACAACTCTTTTCTTTGATATTAATAAATATTAATTTGAATAAAATTAAATAATAATTTTTTATAATATTTAATTTTAAAATACCAGAATAGGACATCCAGTTGTATTAAGACTGCCCTTTTCTTCGATATTGAAAAATAAATGTTAAAAATAATTTATTTAAAAAAATAAATAAATATTTATTTATTATATATATATATTAATGACTACATAATAATAAAAAATATTTAAATATATAAACAAGTAAAATTAAAATAATAAAAATACAATTAGAACTATATATTTAAAAGCAATAAAATAAATAAAAATACTTAAAATTATTGACTAAATTATATTAAATTAAAATTAAAAACCTAATTCAATATTAATCAAAATTATAGGGATTAAACATGCTATTTTCTTATTTTATTAATTTAGTTACTAAAATAAAACTTATCTAAAATTAGAATATCAGATTAAAATAAATTAAAAATATAAACTTGGGATTAAAATATTAATTATTAAAATTAAGGGATTAAATCTGTTATTTACCCTAAATATATTATTTTAATACAAAGGACTAAAATAAATAAAATTAAAATTAAAGAACTGAATTAAAAGGATTATAAATTAGATTTAGTGACTAAAATGTAAAGTTTATAAATTCAAGGGATGGCGGACGGGATTTAACAATTTAAAATTTACACAAATAGCCCTCCCCGAAACGACGTCGTTCGGGAAGGGCTATTTAAAGCCAAATCCGGCTGGCCCGAAGGGCCAGCTTCATTTCTCTTTTTTCCTCTCTCTCTCTCTTCTCTGAGAGAGAGAATTTTCTCTCGCTTCTCTCTAAAACAGAGAGAAGCTAGCCGGCTGGCAGCCGTCCACCGGCATTCTTCCGCCGCCGGCCATCGCCTTCGGTGGCCGGAAAATATTTTTTTTTGTCTTAAAATATAGATCGGACCGTCCTAATGACGGTTCCGATGATCTTTTCTTTTAAATGGCTCCCAATCGGAGCAAATCTAAGAGATATACCTTCGGTTTTCGAAGGTTGTTGGTGATGTTTGGAGGCCGGTGGTGACTCCGATCAAGGCAGTGACTTTCGCGGTGAGTCTCTCTACTTCCTTTCCTTGATGTGTTTGTGAGGTTTTCTTTTTTTTTTGTTCTCTGTTTTTTTTTCTTCTCTATTTTTGCTGGTCTCTCTCGGTCTCTCTCTGTCTCTCTCTTTTTCTTTCTTGGCAGGGGCTCGGTGGCTTTTATAGCCACCACTGGTGATAGCTTTGGACCGGTCCCAAAAGGGGTTCTTCGGTGAGTCACCGGACTTCCAGTGGTGACTCACCATTTGGGGAGACGTGTGCGGCTGGTGTTGAAGCAGCAAAGCTTCTGGATTCTTCAGCAAGGCGGCGGCGTCGCGGTGTGGCACTGGCAGCTGGGACGTGTCCCTAGGGTTATGACACCCTAGGGTTTCCTTGTTGGGTATCTCTGGACCGTTGGATCTTGCCAGATCCAACGGTAGCAAGCTGAGACGGCTGGGAAGAGGGAAACCCTAATCTGTTAGGGTTTGTTATGGGCCATTTGTAATTGGGCCGGTCTAATCTGGGCCTGTTTGTAATTATTATTATTATTATATTTTTTTAATAATAATATATATATATAATAATTATAATAATAATAATTATGATAATAATTATAATAATAATAAAATGGGTAAAAAATTTAGTATCTTCAGCTGCCCCTCTTTGCTCATTCTTGTATTAACAGGAATAGGGCAAAGACGAAAAGATAAATTTTTTTATCCATTTGGCTTCACTCGATTATGATGGAGATGTTGAATAAATTCTTCTCTTTCTTCAGATGAGTTCTTCTTATTATGAACTTTCCACTGGGGATGATGTTGACCTCTTTCCTTCTATGATAGAGTCATTCAAAAGGTTGAATAAGCTCTTCTTCAGATGAGTTCTTTTCATTATGAACTTCTTCTTCCTTCTTCAGATGAGTTCTTCTTATTATGAACTTTCTCTTCTTCAGATGAGTTCTTCTCATTATGAACTTCTTATTCCTTCTTCAGATGAGTTCTTCTCATTATGAACTTTCTCTTCTTCAGATGAGTTCTTCTCATTATGAACTTTCTCTGGAAAAGCTGATCCATCGAGTGATGGATTTGAGCAAAAGGTTGAACAAGCTCTTCTCATTATGAACTTCTTCTTCCTTCTTCAGATGAGTTCTTCTTATTATGAACTTCTTCTGGAAAAGTTGATCCATCAAGTGATGGATTTGAGCAAAAGGTTGAACAAGCTCTTCTCATTATGAACTTCTTCTTCCTTCTTCAGATGAGTTCTTCTTATTATGAACTTCTTCTGGAAAAGCTGATCCATCAAGTGATGAATTTGAGCAAAAGGTCGAACAAGCTCTTCTCATTATGAACTTCTTCTTCCTTCTTCAGATGAGTTCTTCTTATTATGAACTTCTTCTGGAAAAGCTGATCCATCAAGTGATGGATTTGAGCAAAAGGTTGAACAAGCTCTTCTCATTATGAACTTCTTCTTCCTTCTTCAGATGAGTTCTTCTTATTATGAACTTCTTCTGGAAAAGCTGATCCATCAAGTGATGGATTTGAGCAAAAGGTCGAACAAGCTCTTCTCATTATGAACTTCTTCTTCCTTCTTCAGATGAGTTCTTCTTATTATGAACTTCTTCTGGAAAAGCTGATCCATCAAGTGATGGATTTGAGCAAAAGGTCGAACAAGCTCTTCTCATTATGAACTTCTTCTTCCTTCTTCAGATGAGTTCTTCTTATTATGAACTTTTTCTGGAAAAGTTGATCCATTGTTATGGATTTAAAATCTTTGCTAAAATCTTTGAAATTCCTGTTAAAAATTCAACATGGATAAAAATGAATGAAAATGCACCTATTTTTGCAAATACCTAAATATGATGCATGAATGTTAAGTTATTCGATTTCAGATTGGTGAACTGAGTGTTTCCATGTAGAAACCTAATAGATCTTTCTTCTACAACTCAGATAATCTATCATTTTTGACAAATGTAGATATAATGTCACAAAACCTCTTGAGAATAAGACTCACTAGTATAGGCTCTTGAAAAGCTTGCATTCATGCAACATGTTGACTCTGATAACAACTCATCTGATTATGAAGTGATGGATTCATATGATTTCACAGATATCGATAGTTCTTTTAATACCGAGAAATCTTGAATTCTGATTATGATGAGGAGAATAAACTGTTATTCTTGACAAAAAATGGGATTCTCAGAGGCTGAAACTTCAATAACCATGGAGAGATGTGGTTCAGATTCATCAATTGCAAAATTGACAAATTTTATATGTGCTGCTCAAATGGCTAAGACTGCTGACGCATTTCTTCCGGTAAAAGGTAGGAAGCCATTATGCAATGATCCCAATTACAAGAAAAGGCGAAACTTGG